ATCAGTTTTTCAATCAATTGGCCCTTGATAAAACAACGGTCGCCTGCTACTGTCTGTAAGTAGTACTACTTCTGTCATTAAGTTTCTCTATATAGCTTAGCTCTTTCATTGCATGTATTTATAATCATCCTCACTATATTATGCAGATTGAAGATCGTCGAATTGAAGAAAAGACAAGTCGGTGATATTGGGTTCATTAACACATATCTCATAGATGCAACTCAGGTAATTTCATGCCGCAGGTACCGAGGCCAACTTGCTACGATCGTTCGTAATAAATCAAAACAAAGATATAATACTCTTTACTTACAACTTCAAGTGAGTGTTACTGTCTTGTGCGTATTCGGTTTCCTTTATATATTAGTCAAGGTTATAGTAATGTAATTGATGAGTTATGCATGCGTGTGCAGTTTCCACTATATTCTCCTACATATTAAGCTTGAGCAGGGACTAGTAACCGTCTTAGACTCAAGACGAAAAGATCCCCAGGACTATGCAGACATGACTCAAATACTCGAGAAGTAAGTTAAATCGATCATTATCCACCATATCAGCAACTTTGTTCATTTTCTGATATATCAAGTAATTGTTTTCTTTGTCCGGCAGGGTTTGGAGAAAATTCACGAGAAAAGCTCCGGGACTGCCGAAGGAGCTGCAATTTAGACACCCGAAAGTAAATACTATAGTAGCATTTTAAGCGCATCTACTAGTCATTCAAGCGCTAGTTTCATCAATACCATTTGGCATTCTTGCTTATCAGTTTGATTAACCTCTATTTCTTGTAAAGTGGTTGTGGCAGGAATAAGGGAATGATTTCTGTGGATACTATGTTTGCGAGTCCATCCGCCACACGCCCTGTGAGCGGGGCGGGTACTCTGACGAACAATATGAAGTACGTAAATAACAACATTCACAATTTTATTTTATTACCATCATTTGTGTTGAGTTTCATTCATTCATATATATATATATATATATATATATATATATATATATTGACCCCCCTTTTCAAATTAGATGTTTCGGAAGCGGGATGAACTCCTAGCACCAGCTCGCATGCGAGCAATTCAAGAGGAATTGGCGGCATTCTTTCTTGACCACGTGATCCCTGAAGACGGAGAATTCTATGTGGACCCTGAGTCCGTATGATTATATTTGTAAAAGATAATTATTGTATATATGTAGCCAGTAGTGTCAGATAGATATACGAGAACTTGTTGTTCGACCAATCTCTCGGAGAAGGAGAGGTGGTCGATATCACTTCTCTCTGTATGCATATATGTTCATGACGATCTTCTGTTTCCTTCGTTTGCTTACTAGCTAGCCAGTGTGTCTAGTCCTCTCTATACGTATGTATAGTACGTAGCGTCGACCAAGCACGGACATAAGAGAGGACACTTCTCTCTATTAATTATAGCTAGCTAACACAATATATGAAACACCTAAATTAACCCCCCAAAACCCCCAAACCCCACCCCCCCTTTAAAAAAAAACAAAAACCCCAGTCACAGAAATGCTGACGCGTGGATGCCTATTGGTCCCGGTTGGTGCCACCAACCGGGACCAAAGGGTCTCCTGCCTGGGCTCTGCGCACTGCCCACGTGGAGGCCCATCAGTCCCGGTTCTGGATTGAACCGGGACTAAAGGGTCGGGGCATTAGTACCGACACTTTAGTCCCGGTTCAGGAACCGGGACTAAAGGCCCTTACGAACCGGGACTATAGGCCCTTTTTCTACCAGTGTTAATACTTTTCTTATAACAACAAACTCACAAAAGCATCATATATGGTCCACACCAGCATCATATGAAGTCACAAGTAGTTACTTAGGACGAGTGTCTCCTCACTAAACCGCAATGTGGCCAATGCATGGTACATATGATCACATGATATTCGTGCTAATTAGGTTGTTGATTTTATCATGTGATCGTATGGGTTGTGACGTTCATTACCCATTTCTAATTTAACTATGTTTTTTTTACCAAATTACGAGTTAGGCATGAAGCGATTCTGAATATTATTAGGATTAGTGATGGCGACAGTGGCCCGTCTTTCTTGGCTGATCTGGTACCCTCTGGCACAGAGGACCACACTACCGAGGGCGAGGAGGCGACATAGGATCCTTCCCACGACGAGTTGGCTTCTGGGGAGGGTGACAAGTTGGGTGAGGATGACTCGGGGTCTGCCTCCAGCAGCACAACCAAGGGGAAGCACTTTTGCTCTTATGCTCACTTTAGCACCACCATGTGTACATATATAAAGCATTAGTTGCAAATACCTAACGAAAAATTATGATTTTCCTTAGCATTGCATTCATATATAGGGTGATAGCAATAATTATATGAAGTGCATCCACAAGACGGACCCTGAAATTATAAGACAATATAGCATACTCTGCACGGTGAGACGGTGACGCCTCCGGGGAGGCGGGGCTTGGTGTGGGGATGTGCATTCTGTCTTCGCTGACATAGATGGGATTTTCCACGCTTGTGCCTGGCAACACCACTGGGTCAGTCCATGCCACATCTTGGACCTCATTGGCGGGCATAATAGAGCGGTAGTCTTCATACTTGTGTACCAACTTCTCGTCCCATCCATGCCCCTCGTTGATACACCATAGGAGGACCTCCATCGCACTGACCGCCATAACACCATCATAGGCTGCCCTGATCTGGTCCCGCTCATACTTTGTGGAATCCGTGAGCACAAAATACACCTTATAATGCAGTTCCTGTGAGGTGTCATAGCAGGAAGCGATCTGCATCTTGGCCAACAGAACAACACCTCCAAACGATAACACCTCAATGAGCCCGTTCCATCCACTACTATCATCCATCTGTAAAAGTATATTTAAATTAATTAAGAAGTCATTATTCATTGAAAAACACATAAAACCCTGTAACACTACAAACCATATAAAAGATATAGCATTTCAAAATATTTGCATACATGCATGATTACATTTTAACATAACAAATTTTTACTACAAACTTCTTTTCCCTTTTTCATTTATTTCTCTTCCCTTTTATTTTATTTTGTTACCAATATTTCTAATCTACAACGCACATTGATTCATTGAACTATAATATCTATACAAATTATAAAATGCTATCAAAATAAAATGAAAATGAAAACATATATCATCCATATCAATTGTTTTTCAATATTGCTAATTAAGCTCACACATCCATATATATTATTCATACAATCCATGATATATATCTGTATCAAATTTCAATCTATACTAGCTATATCGAACATCGATCCCCAATTGCATCCACATGCATTATCATATCCATAATTTTTTTTATCATAATTTATATCAATCATCGACCCTAACCCGCCGAATATAGTTATAAGATATCCGAATATCCAATTCTGAGCCCGGATTCATCTCCACCAGCTCAAGAAACAATTCATACAAAATTCGAAACAATTCAAAATAAAATCCAAATTTTTTGTGCAAGGTAGATAATTTGGTGCGTGAGGTTCAAAGCATTTGGACATTTGAGTAGCTCTCAGCAAAAAAGTCAAATTTGGTCAGAACAGTATACTATTTAACAGACCCCAAATTTATCTTTTTTGCCGAGAGCTATTCAGATGTCCAAATGAGTTGACATTTGGAGCGGACATCACGCACCAAATTATCTACCATGCCAAAAAAAAGCAATTTTTTGAATTTTTCTAGTTTTTTTGATTTTTTTTATTGAGCGCAGGTGCAGATGATCCTAAGAACCGAAACGCCTCATACTAAGATATCTACCTATCTGGATAGCATCCATATATAGCTACCTATTTTGTATCCACACACAAACGTGCATATAACATTTCAAGGACGGCCGGTGGTTAGCGGCAACGACAGACGGTGGCGGCTGTGTTGGGTGGTTGGCCGTGGTTGCGTACGACGATGTCGGTTGTGGAGCAGGCGGCCGGCCGTGTGGGAAATGAAGAGCTGGCGGCTGCTGCCGTGACGGCCGGCAGCGATGAAGAGGGCGGCAAGCGGCGGCGTGCCCGTGGTCGAGGAGGGCGGCGGTGATGCGGCAGGTTAGCATAGTGTCGCCGCGCATGTGTGCGAAGATGAAGGGGGGAGGCACGTGTGGCCGCAATATATATAATTCAAACATAAGCTGAGTGTAAAAACACGCACACAAGCATATAAGGGAGGGTTTTCCATTAAAAAAAATAAAAACATAAGGCAAGCTCTGACATAGTGTACTCGGCTTGGGAAAGTAGTGGCTGAGCTCCAGCTTGTTGCACCCCCGCAAGAAAATGTGGCAAAACATTTCGTAAAAACTGAAACTTTGTAGGAATGATTATGAACAAATGTTATAGATGCTTGCAAAGCTTGGTGGTCAAATGACATCCCAGGAGTTTTGCATATTTCTTTTTTATAAATTCTGCTCAAACAATGCATAAATATTTTGAGTAATTTTTTTTTATGTACAAAGCTTCTCGAATGTCATTTCACCACCAAGCTTTGCAAGCACCTATAACATTTATTCATAATCATTCTTGCAAAATTTTAGAGTTTTTTGAAATATTTTGCTATGTTTTCTTGCGGGGTGTAGCAGGGTGCACCGAGCTAGGGTGTAGAAAACTACTCTCGTACTCGGCTTATATCGACAGCCATCGTGCTAGCGGTTAAGCGCGTGGACAACGGCACGTGCTAAAGAGGGTTGCCACGAAACTAACTAAGCTGAGATGTTTGTTCTTATTATATGCTGAGCATTTTGTGTAAGCCGAGATCTTTTTCTATCACTTCTCGGCTTATGGATATGCAAGCCGAGATTTTTTTCTTGCCGTGGGTTCTTTATTTCCTACTAGGTTTACGCACACACATATAAACCGAGTACGCGTGTTTTTACAGTCGGCTTACATACAATACACGGCGAGGTGTGTTTTTTCTATAGTGGCACTTCCGTTATTTCGAGGTGCAAACACGGTACTGAAGAGTGAGTACTGAAGAGCGCTGCAAAATTTAATTACTAACTGAAAGCTATAGCTAATTGGTGCAGACAACGTCTTGGCCACCCTGCTCGTCCAAGGAAACTGAACTGTCCTCATCCTTTACAGCCAAGAAGACCAGTAGGGCAAGCAAAGGATAGCTGACAGTCATGAGCACCCAGTTCACAATCAGCTGGGAAATCAGGGGTGCCTTGTGCCTGTCGACTTGCCATGCAACAGCCGCCCCTGCACTCTGAACAGCATTGTAGAACCCGCAATACCTGCACAAGAGCTCAAGAGTGGTTCATATGCAATGCGAATAAGAGAAAAGACAACTGATCTCTAGGAGAATAATCTTTTGAGGAAAAGCTAGCTAGATAAGTACTAGCTTTATTCTCAAATTCTCTATATTTTTTTGTCAGAATCCTTTTGCGATCAGAATTCAGAAGTAACAATCTATCTCAAGCTACCAGAATATCATACGGGAACCAACATTCAAAGAAAACTTCCTGAAAACCATGTTTAAAAATTTCTAAAAAATCTGGAAAAAATGTGGGATATCAAGAGGAGGATGTTTTATTGTCATGAGAAGTTTCAAGTTAAAACACATGACGGAGTGCGAGATATGAAAAAGAAAAATTCAGCCATGAATAGTGACGTTACTTTTCGGCACTACTTGGAGCTGATTTTGTTTTTCCGTAGCTCACACCCCATAAGGTGTTCGAGCTTAAACTTTTGCATGACAATAGAACATCACCTTCTTAACAAGGGTTAAGAGTTTCAAGGAAATTTCAATGAAATTTCCGAAATGTCACATATTTCAGTGGCGTCCGAAATATTTTTAACACCGAAATTTTGAGGTATATTCAAAATGATTTTAAACTAAAATTTAAATTATGTTAGAATTTATTACAATTAAGTAAAATTTGAAATCTCAAAATCCGAAATAATTGCTGAAATATCCGAAATTTCACGTATTTCGGTGAGGTCCGGAATTATTTTGTTTCCGAAGTTAAAAACCTTAACCCCTGTTTTTTTAGATTTTTCCGAAACTTCAAGACATCGTTTTCACATGGTTTTCATCGATTTCCACCGAATATTGGTTTCCATTCTCCCGATGGAAAAATAGCATTATGAACTAAACTTGAGATAGAATTTTTTACCTGCTGAGGACCTGTGAATCGTCAGTGAGGGCGCCCATGATCCAGTAGATGAGACTCTGGAACATGGCGTCCAGCAGCCCGTAGCTGAAGAAAAGCAGAAATGGACCAGCATAACGGCGTCCGTCCTTGAAATCGATGAGGTCATCCCACTTGCCGTCCTTGTACCTGAGTTGGTTGGCCAGGCCTCCTCCCCAGATGATGGTGCTTAGCGTGGCGGCGAGGGCGATCCCGACGAGGCCCCTCTTCCGCCGGCTGGTGAACCCAAAGTCGAGGAAGTAGCCGCTGGCAGCGGAGCCGATCATCCGTGCACCCCAGTAGAAGACATTGTTGAGGCCCTTGGTACGGAGCGTAAAGAGGACGCCATTGACGTTGTTAAACTGGTAGGTGTAGAAGAAGTTGCTGTCCCAGACCGCGGGGAGCACGAGAAGCATCTTCCAGTTGCCAAAGAGCTTAATGATTTCCGCGCCTTCTCTGGCCGGGGAGGAGTAGGCGACCCCTGCGACCTTACTCCCGTCGTCACGGACGATTTTGCTGGGTGGTAGGATGAGGAGTGTGAGCGCGGCGCCGAGGAGCATGAAGGCCATGTATGCGATGTAGGTGCCGTCGTTGACGCTGGCGGCTTCGCTGCCACGGTGGTAGTTGAATGAGAAGGGGAAAAGGCCCCCGAAGACACCTCCAAGGTTGTAGAGGCACAAGAAGAGAGAGATATAGGTGCCGCGGCGGTTTGGCGGCGGATAGGCGGTTATGATTGCGCCTTGGGCGGCCCAGAGGAGCCCACAGCCAGCGCCGAGGATGGCCCCCGCGGCAATGGGGAAGCCCACAGAGCGACGGTGGTTGTAGTAGAGAAAGGAGGCGTCATAGAGTGGGTAAGTGAGAGCGCCGAGGAGGAGGGTGGTACGTGGGCCAAGGATGTTGTTGGCCGCAACGCCCAGGATGCCGAATACGGTGAAGCAGGCGTAGAGGCTGGTGTTGGCGTCGTCGGCGACGGTGTGGTCAAGCTGGCCGGCACCGCCGAGGCCGGAGAGCGCATTGAACATGCCACAGCAGCAGAAGCACACGAGGCCAGTTAGGAACACCTGCGCCAGCGGCGAGTTGTAGCGGAGAAGCCCGCGCTTAGCCGGAGCTGACCGCTTCCCCTCCTCGGCCACCTCCAGGTGCAGCATCTGCATATCGGGCAGGTTGAGTACTCTGCGAGCCACCAATGTTGATAAACACTATCCTCTGCCCAAGCTAAAGGGCACGTACGTACGTACGGTTATAGTAGTAATATATGTGGGCTTGTAAACAGAGCAGGCTGCCAAGAATTGTGCCAATATTATTATTTCTGAATCGTACCAAGATGCTTTGTAATTTGTCAGAGAGAGAGAGAGAGAGAGAGAGAGAGAGACGAATAGAAGCACGAGGGAAGAAAAGTATAGATAAAGACAGGATAAAATGAATAGGGTGTACTTGACTAAGTTTGGACTCAACACAGGTCTAGCAATTTACCATATTTCCCGCGAAAAAAAAGATTATGCTAGGATGATGAGGCATCGAGAATTATTATTTCTTGGTCAAGTTGTTGCATTGGAATATTTAGAGGGTTGCTAAATTTACAGCCAAATGAATTCACAGAAGATTTCAGAGAATCTAATGTCCTTGTCAAATGTATTCTTCCTGACAACTACAGTAGGGCGACATCCAAGTGGGAACTCTTGAAGATGACATATAGCATTTATTTCGTCTACATACAATGTAAGACCGTCCATGTTGACAGGAAGAGGAGATATTTTACCTTATGCATTTTATGAAAGAAATTCTTTCTGCCCAGTACAATATGACAAATTGAAGACCAAGTAGGAGAACCCTTTGGTTTTTACTTCTCCTTCTCGCCACACATTATGGGCACGTTTGGTCGCCAACATTGTTTTTGGACGCTTTACATACTTGTCCTAGTTGGACCTGGCTAGGAAAAAACAGGTAAAAAACCATCATTTGCACATGGTTTGGATGCCTGTATGTAGGCTCCCAGCATTAGGGAGCAATTTTCAATGGCGTTTGGTTGTTTGCATTGGTTGGACTGATGCAACTACACGGTGTTTCGTTGCATAGGTTAATGTGATTAAGAGTTAACAACTACACATGACACACAAAGTTGTAGTAGAGTTCCTTGACAATGTGCTTGCAATGGCGACGTCAGTGTAGTAGGTCACAGGCAAGGAGACCGAGAGGAACGAGGCCGGAAGCGGTGCCGAGCACAACATTGCATCCATCCAACAAGGTTGACGATGATCAATGAGAACAGAAAGAAGCCACTCTGAATTTTGTCTAAACCATAAACCATCACATAACCACCTTAGTACAGTATAGTAGGAAGATACACATATACTCGTCTATGATCGTTGAAACAGAAAACGTATAAAAGTCATGTGAAACATTGAGATGAAGCTTCTAGTAAAAGGGAATTTCAAACGGTCGACCGTGCATGCCGAATTTGACGAAATCGCCCAAAATTTCTCCAAACATGAATAAGAAATTAAATATATACGGTCAACGAAACTATAAACCGACCATATGAATGGAACCACGACATCAATGTGCATCTTTTCTTGTAGAACTTATCTCGAATCAGAGCAACATTGTGTAGTAGATTGGAAGGGACCAAAAGAGATTAAGAAGTCTCCTTAAAATAGACCACAAACATGCATTCCTATAGTATACCAGAAAGATGTAGATCTACTCATCTACAGTCATCAAAACAGATAACATACAACATGAAAGTCGTTTGAAATGTCGTGATGAAGCTAGTGGTCAAAGAAAATTTTAAACAGTCAACCGTGCACGGCAAGTTTGAAGAAATTCGTCCAAAATAGCTCCAAATATGAACACAAAATTGAGCATTTACCAATCGTCTAAATGGAACTACAACATCGGTGTGGATCTTTTTCATGTAGACCTTATCAATCAGAGCACCGTTGTGTAGATTAGAAGTTAAGCGATATTAAAGGGAGATTAAAGCAGAACACATGCAAACTCACCTATAGGGTGCGCCCAGCCTGCAGGAGCTCACACCTAATTGCAGCACGAGAGCCACCCACATGTGCTATTTTGCATCGCTTGAGCCTATGGATGACAATTTTACCCATGGGTATGGGTACCCGCGGATACTCACTAGTAGAAAAAGGGTTAAACGTGAAGTACATTAGTGCCGGTTTGTATTTGAGCCGGCACTAATGTATACATTAGTGCCGGTTCCAACGGCTAGCCGGGCCGCTTTCATTAGTACCGGTTCGTGGCGAACCTTTAGCACCGGTTCGTGCCACGAACCGGTACTAATGAGAGTGGTGGCAGGATGTTGTCAGAATGGGGCCCCTCCAGCCCCTTTAGTACCGGTTCTTGGCACAAACCGGTACTAAAGGTCGTCCTACATAAACCCTTCGTCCACCCGAGCTCGCTCTGTTCTTCCCCTTTCCCCTCTCCTCTCTGTTCTTCCCCTCTTCCTCTCGAGCTCATCACACATTTTGCCCAAAATTTGTCAAGATTTGAAGGCCCCCATCCATTCAAATGATCACAAAGGTTAGCAACTTTGTCCTTTCATCTCTCATTGCTAGATTAGCTCTTGCAATGCTTTATATAGTGATTAATTTGTGAGTTTAGTAATTTGGGAGGATATATATATATGCGCTAGTATTTGATTTATATGCAATTTGAGGTCAAAAATAACACTTAGTTTGCATATGTAGGTGTGGTTTACTTAGTGCCTTCTAAATCTCCATCGTAGCCACCGTCGATCGCCCGCACCGTCCCGTCGCCGGCACCACCTTGTGGTGAGCCTCTTGTTCATGAAATTTTATATAAAAATTGATGTTTGTGTGATTTGGATATATAGTTACTCGTATAATTATCTTACCCGTATGTTGTTTGTTATACATATAGTGCCATGGTTTTGATATCCGTCCCCATCGGCCCTAGTCCTTGTTATGATTCGAATGTGGTATGTATATTCTCTTTTAAAACTAATTGCATTTTGTGTTTATGACAAATTATGCCCATCAAGTTGACATAGAAATTTTTTCTAGGAGGTATGTGAACCGGAAATTCCAACCGACCCTATTGCCGAGAGGTTAAATTTAGTTGAAAGAGAAAACGAGTACTTGAAAGAAAAGTTGAAAAGAATTGAGGGGGAGAAGATGGAATTGGAGTTGCATGTTGCCGATGTCGTCGATGATCACAAGATCAAGATGGAGAAAATGCACTTGAAGATTAGAAAGATTAGAAAATATGCCATCGATAGTGACGCTTGGTATCATTATGCTGTTGGATCCATTGTTACCTTAGTTGCGATGTTGATCGTATTTGTTGTTGCATTTAAATGCTTTAGCTAGAGAGTTATTTGTTTGTTGCATTTAAGTGTTGTATGAACTTTATGTATGAACTTGTATTAATTTGGTCTATTCGGTGTTGTGTAATAAAGATGAGCCGGCAATGGATGTACGATGACCGATGCTCTCCCCAGTTCATTGAGGGCGTGCATACTTTTCTGCTTGCGGCTGAGGCAAACAAGCGGGCGGATGGTTTTATGCCTTGTCCATGTGCTCGCTGTAAGAATGGTAACAATTACTCTACGTCAAGAACCATTCGCGTCCACCTGTTTAAGTCCGGTTTCATGCCCCATTATAATGTTTGGACCAAGCACGGAGAAAGAGGGGTTATGATGGAAGACAATGAAGAAGAAGAGGACGACGACAGCTATCCTGGCCATGGGTTCCCTGAATACGATGATACAACAATGGGGGAAGAAGCTGAGCCGGTAATGCGGGAAGAAGCTGAAGAAGAGGCATTAGATGAGCCTGTTGATGATCTAGGTCGGGCCATTGCCGATGCAAAGAGAAACTGCGCAAGTGATTTGGAGAAGAAGAAGTTGCAGCGCATGTTAGAGGATCACAAAAAATTGTTGTACCCGAATTGCGTAGGTGACAAGAAAAAGCTAGGCACCACACTGGAATTGCTGCAATGGAAGGCAGAGAATGGTGTATCTGACAAGGGATTTGGAAAGTTGCTGGTAATGATAAAGGATATGCTTCCAAAGGACAACGAATTGCCCGAGAGTACGTACGAAGCAAAGAAGGCCGTCTGCCCTCTAGCGTTAGAGGTGCAGAAGATACATGCATGCCCTAATGATTGCATCCTCTACCGCGGTGAGTACGAGGATTTGAACGCTTGCCCGGTATGTGGTGCATTGCGCTATAAGATCAGCCGTGATGACCCTGCTGATGTCGAGGGCCGGCGCCTCAGGAAGAAGATTCCTGCCAAGGTGATGTGGTATGCTCCTATAATACCATGGTTGAAACGTTTGTTCCAAAACAAAGAGCATGCCAAGGCGATGCGATGGCACAGACAAGACCGTAAGAAAGACGGAAAGTTGAGAGTACCCGTTGACGGGTCGTAGTGGAGAAAAATCGAAAGAAAGTACGGGAAGGAGTTTGCAGATGACGCAAGGAGCGTATGGTTTGGTCTAAGCGTAGATGGCATTAATCCTTTTGGGGAGCAGAGCAGCAACCATATCACCTGGCATGTGACTCTATGTTTGTATAACCTTCCTCCTTGGTTGTGCATGCAGCAGAAGGTCATTATGATGCCAGTGCTCATCCAAGGCCCTAAGCAACTCGGCAACGACATTGATGTGTACCTAAGGCCATTAGTTGAAGAACTCTTACAACTGTGGAATGGAACAGGTTACGTGCGTGGGATGAGCACATGGGGGAAGAATTTGACCTAAAGGCGTTGCTGTTCGTGACCATCAATGATTGGCCTGCTCTCAGTAACCTTTCAGGACAGACAAACAAGGGATACCTCGCATGCACGCACTGTTTGGACGATACCGACAGTATATATTTGGCTAATAAGAATGTGTACCTGGGACATCGTCGATTTCTTCCGAGCAGGCATCCCGTAAGAAAGAAAGGCAAGCATTTCAAAGGTGAGGCGGATCACCGGACGAAGCCTCGCCACCGTACTGGTGCTGATGTACATGATATGGTCAAGGATTTGTAGGTGGTCTTTGTAAAGGGTCCTGGTGGACAACCTGTTCCGAATGACGCTGACGGACACGCACCCATGTGGAAGAAGAAATCTATATTTTGGGACCTGCCTTATTGGAAAGACCTCGAGGTCCGCTCCGCAATCGACG